AGGTGGGTCAGCGCATCGTGGCCCGAGAGGGGCCATGGGACGCATTGAAAGAATGGAGCAGGGACCGACCGTCCTGGCATTTTCACAGGCCCAGCACGACATGTTCGCAGAACAGTTGAATGTTCAGTGAACAGCAACAAAGGTCTTAGAACATGGAGCCGATGCGTAAAAAAAAACGGTGTCAGCCAGAAATGTTCTAAGAACATTTCGCGGGAACCACGAACGGTATGATAATATATTGTTTGGTGGGCCGATAGGCGAGCCAGGACGCTTCGCCACTGCTTGAAAGATGCCACCCAGAGGTCCGGACCCCTTCCCCGGAACCGGTTTTTCCTCCTGAAGCGGTTTTGGACGGTCAGGGCCCCCGGAGGCCGAAAATAGCGAAACACCTCCCGTCGCGATTTTTTCACACAGTGGTTCGGTGGGTGGTGGGTGACCCACAGTCGGGCCTCGCCGGCCGCGGAGCGGCGGCAGCGGCAGGCCTCGTCCGCGAGGCGCCGCTGCACAGCGCCAGGCTCGCGGTCGGCGTCGGAGAGGGACCTCGCCGGCAGCGGGCGGCAGGCGGCGGACGCGGGGGCGGCGGACGGCGGCGGCGGCGGCGGCGGACGTCGTCGTCGTCGTCGTCGTCGTCCACGACGTCGGCCGCCGTCGTCGTCGTCGTCGTCGCGACGAGGGCCGGGAGGGGGGCAAGGGCTGCCTGGCAGGGAGGTCCGAATCGCATCCGAGTGAGCGTGTGGCGGGCGGGGGCCAAGCGCGATGATCTTCGCGGCCCCACGGGTGGCCTCGGCAACGCCTACCCGAAGGTCGAAAAGCGGCGAGCATCGACAGACGGGTGCTGGCTGCGGAGTGGATACTGTGAGCTGCGCGCTGATGGTGGCTGTAAGAGGCGAAAGATCGAAGCAAGTGCTCGCACGGCTCGAGTGGCATTTCGGATGCAGCGAACACCACAGTACTATAGAGACGATCATCGATCGAGTGGCTAACCAATAGCAATGCGATCAGCATCGTTTGAGGAGGAGGAAAAGGAATACCTGCAAATCCACGGCCCGTAGCGGTCTTGTGTAAACCTACAGGCAGGTCAGCAATGAACTGACGAGAGACCCGCAATAACACTGCGGTAGGTTGCCTGAAAGCCTCGAGTTCACTGATGTGCTCGAAGAACTCATCTGCAGAAAGCACACGATCGTCAGGCTGGCACTGCTTGTCAGTGGCACAACGTGCACCTCTGTTGCGATTCAGGGTCCGAAAGGAGGAGCTCAATGAGAGACACACCTAGGGGTACAGACACGACAGAAACCCTATGTAACACCACCCCTCCGGAAGCGCGCCTGGACGACCCGCTTCCGCATCGGAGAACGCAAACCTCGATAGAATATGCCTGTCACTCCCTACATCTATCAGTTCGCAGCCTGCGACGGCAAGCACAAGCCCCCACACGTTGCCCCAGCTACAGGGCACACTCTGCTAAACGCAGCAAGTGTGGCCCACGACAGCTCAGTCGCTACTCGCTGTGCTTGCTGTGCTCGCCGTGCTGAAAGTCCTGGCGCTCTTCAACTCAACGCCCAGTGCAAGTCCTGGCGGAGGCCAGTGAGTGGGCCCCGCACCGAGCGCCTCGGCTATCCTCAACTCGCGGTCCCTCTGCGCAATCTCAGCGGCGGCCTTGCGAGACGCCTCGAGGGCGGCGTCGCAGCCCGCCCGGACCAGCAGGGAGACCATCTCGCGCGAGGAGCTCCCGCCGACCGCCAGGTGCAGCGGCGTCTTCTGCTGGCCGTCGGCGAGGGCCGGGTCGGCCGCGGCCTCCAGCAGCAGCTGCGCCGCGGCCGTGTGGCCCCAGGCGGCGCAGTAGTGCAGTGCCGTGCGGCCGCTCCCGCGCGCGGGGCCCGAGCCCGCCTCTGGGCCCCGGTCCTGCGCGTTGGGGTCCGCCCCCGCCGCGAGGAGTGCCCCCACCGAGGAGCTCACCTGCTCCGCCGCCGCGCCCCGAGCGGCGGCGGCCGGGTGCAGCGGGCTGCGGCCCCGCGCGTCGATCGCGGTGGGGGCTGGCGCCGAGGTCCAGCAGCGCACGACGCCGCCCCAGCCGCGGCGCGCGCTCTCTGCCAGGGCTGTCGTACCATTGTAGTCTCTCTCGTCTACGGTGGCCCTCGTGGTGGCAGATCGGACCTTGCTCGCAGTGGGAGCGTCCCCGCCGGCGCTGAACGTCTTCTCCCACCACGCCAGCACCCTCTGGCGGCACAGTCGCGGGGTGTCTTCGGGAACATAGATCCGCCGACCCCTTGCCGGGAAAGTGTACGAAAGTGTGGACCATCGATGCTCTGGCCTTCCTGGGCCTCCTGGGGCCCCAGAGGGCCCCAGATGGCCCCAGGAACACCCGAGAGGCCCCCAAGACGGCCCCAAATGGCGGCCCCGAGGGAGCTCTCCAAGAGCACCCCCCCGAGGCGAACTCGGAGCTCGCTCCACGGGTGCCCCCGGACGCTGAGCGGACGACACGCTGCACACAAAGCACACGCCGCAGCCGCCGCTTGCTCGAGGCGGGGCCTCCCCCGGCGCAGGGCAAGCGCGCGCCGGCCCTCGCACGGCGATCCGGGGGGGGGGGCCAGGCCACAGTGGACCGACCCACCTCCTCCTCCTCCTCCTCCTCCTCCTCCTCCTCCTCCTCCTCCTCCCCTCCTCCTCCTCCTCCTCCTCCTCCTCCTCCTCCTCCTCCTCCTCCTCCCTCCTCCTCCTCTTCCTCCTCCTCCTCTTCCTCCTCCTCCTCCTCCTCCTCCTTGGCAGGATCATGCAGATGCCTAGCACAACTTGGCTCAGGCTTTTTGTTGCTTCGAGGAGGTGCAGGGCGCCCACAGGCCTCAAGGCCCTCGGAGTCCACAGTCCACACTCCAGAGGCCGAAATCATATAATATTTTAAAGGTTCTTGAACGTTTTAGCGTTCTCGGCTTCTTCGTCTCTCAGAAGCCCATGACAGCGGAAGCAGCCTCCAAAATGGCCCCAAGACGGCCAAAAGAGCCCCCCAAAAGGACCCCAAGACGGGCCCCAAGCGGGGCCCAAGATGGCAAGAAGAGGCCCCAAAGACGGCGCAAGAAGCCCCCAAGACGGCCCAAGAGGATCCCAAGAAATCCTCAAGGCGGCCGCGGCCAAGAGGCGCAAGAGCGCCCCAAGATGGCCCAAGACGACCCAGATAGGCCGCAAGAGGCCCCAAAGAGGCCACCAAGAAGCCCTACGAGGTCCCCAAGAGACCTCCAATAGGACCCCAATTAGGCTCCCACCAGGCTCTTTCGTCGATCGCCTTAATGCAACGTATGCGACGTATACAAGTATTGCATCAGTGTTATATATATATATATATATATATATATATATATATATATACATAACATACATACATACATACTACATACATACATACATACATACATATACATAGTTTCGCTGTTTTGCGTGATCATGCTATTCCCCTACCCCCCCCCCCCAGGCCACGCCATTTCTGACGACCAAGGCCCACAAACATACAAAAATCTTGGTAAAATCTGTAATTTGGCCCCCTTGGGCCTTTTGGGGGTCTAGCGTCAGGACGGCTCAACATGGCCTCAGTACTGGCCAAGACGGCCCCAAAACAATCAAAGATGGCCCCAAGAGGGCCCAACAAAACCCCTAAGACGCTTCAAGAGGGCCCCAGGACGACATCCGAGAGCGCCTCCAGGTGCCAACATCATAGATCCTCCATCGGTTTATGTAGGATTGTCGCATTCTCGGCTTCTTCGTCTCTCAGAAGCCCATGACAGCGGAAGCAGCCTCCACAATGGCCCCAAGACGGCAAAAAGAGCCCCCCAGAAGGACCCCAAGACGGGCCCCAAGCGGGCCCCAAGACGGCCCGAGGAGGCCCCAAAGACGGCCCAAGAGACCCCCACGACGGCCCAAGAAAACCACAAGAAAGACCCAAAGCGGCCGCCGAATGCCCACAGGAAGGCCTCCGAAGGGGCCAATCGGCGTAAGAGCGCACCAAGACGGTCCAAGACGCCCCCCAAAGAGGCCCCAAGCAGGCCTCGAAGAGGCCCCAAGGAACCCCCAAGAGAAAACGCTCCCATCAGGCCCCACAACGTCTGGACTGTACACGTCGATCGGACGAAGCAGGTAAAAACATGAAGTGGGAAGGCGGATAAAGCAGATTGGGCTGAGGCCCTCCCAGATAACGACAAAGCACAGCAACACCATATACATATATATATACACATACCTATACGACCACCCTTCGGGTGATTAAGGAGGTTGTGGGGGGGAGAGGGGGGGAACCAACATCTGACTCAATCGATCTCACGATCGATCTCACTCAACGGGACACCACGGGACACCACGGGACACTACGGAACACCACGGGACACTTGTCGATCTCACTATCGATCTCACTATCGATCTCACTCAACGGGACACCACGGGACACCACGGGCCACCACGGGACACCACGGGACTCCGCGGGACATCACATCGATCTCACTATCGATCTCACGATCGATCTCACTATCGATCTCACTCAGCGGGACACCACGGGACACCACGGGACACCTGTCGATCTCACTATCGATCTCACTATCGATCTCGCTCAGCGGGACATCAAGGGACACCACGGGACACCTCGGGGAACCACATCGATCTCAGTATCGATCTCACTTTCGATCGCACGATCGATCTCACCGCGGGGCACACGGCCGCCGGAGGAGTTACAGTTGGTCCGGCCGCGGCCCAGCCACAGGAAGATTTCCTCTCGCCCGCCCACGCAGCTTCGCCTCGCCTCGACGCACGCACAACACGCACGAGACGAACCCGAAACCGAAATCGAGTTCCCGGTAGGGGGGTCTCCGTTTCGCGTCGGACTCACCCCCCCAATCCGATAAGCATGTGTGTATACATCTATATATATATATATATAAATATTCAATCGATATACATATATATATACATATGTGTGTGTAATATATTCTGGGGACCTGGGATTCAAGAAATTCCAACTCTCAACGACCAGCGTGCACGTGCTCCGGATGTGCACCCTGCGTAGCGAGACGAATCAAGGTGCCGTCCTCGTCGTCCAGCTGCACCTGGTAGGGGGCGCGGAAGCTCGGCCTGAACCCCTCCTGGGTAACCGCACCGCCACCGCGGGGTGCCGGGCGCGTCCGAGCTCCTCCTCCTCCTCCTCCTCCTCCTCCTCCTCCTCCTCCTCATCATCATCATCATCATCATCATCAGCATCAGCATCCGCATCCGCATCAGCATCAGCATCAGCATCAGCATCATCATCATCATCATCATCACCACCACCACCACCACCACCACCACCGCCACCACCACCACCACCACACCACCACATCATTCATCATCATCATTCATCATCATCATCATCATCATCATCATCATCATCATCATCATCATCGTCACCATCAGCATCATCATCATCATCATCATCATCATCATCATCATCATCATCATCATCATCATCATCATATCATCATCATCAGCATCATCATCATCATCCCTCCTCCTCCTCCTCCTTCCTCCTTCCTTTTCCTCCTCCTCCTCGTCCTCCTCCTCCTCTTCCTTCCATCTCCCTTTTCCTCCTCCTACTCCTGCTCCCCCGCCTCCTCCTCCCCCTCCTCCTCCTCATCATCAGCATCATCAGCATCACCATCATCATTTTCATCATTTTCATGTTCATCATCATGTTCATGTTCATCATCATCACCATCATCATCATCATCATCATCATCATCATCATCATCACAACCATCATCATCACCATCACCATCACAATCACCATCACCATCACCATCACCATCATCAGCATCATCATCATCAGCATCATCATCATCAGCATCGTCATCATTCCTCCTCCCTCCTTTCTCCTCCCTCCTCCCTCCTCATCCCCCTCCTCCTCCTTCTCCTGTTCCTCCTCCTCCTCCTCCTCCCCCTCCCGTATCCTCCTTTTCCCTCCTCCCCCACTCCTCCTCCTGATCCCATCCTCCTACCTCTCTCCCCCTCACACTGCTATCCCTCCTCCTTATCCTCCTTTTCCTCCTCCTCCCCCCCTTCCTCCCCCTCCTCCTCCTCCTCCTCCTCCTCCTCCTCCTCCTCCTCCTCATTCCTAATCCTCCCCCTCTCCTTCTCCCCTCCTCCTCCTCGCCTCCCCCTCTCCCTACCTCCCTCCTTCCCTCCCCCTCCTCCTCCTCCCTCCTCTCTCCTTCTCAACCTCCTCAAACCCATCCTAACTCCTCCTTGTAATCCATATTTCTTCTCTCTTCCTCGCCCCTTCTAAACGATCCGCCCCACCCCCCACCCCCCCCTCCTCGTCGCCCTCCTCCTCCTCCGCCTCCTCGCCATCCTCCTCTACCCCTCCCTCTTCCTTCCACTTCCCTCCTCCCCAGGACGCCCCAGGAGGGTCCCAAGACGGACAGCCCCCAGACAGGCCAAGAAGCCCAAGGAGGGCGTTTCTCACAGCGGCCGAGGAGACAAAAAGGTGTCGATGCGATACCAGAACTCCCCAGAACTCTCCATGTGCAAGTTCTGACCGATTTCGAAGGCGACTCCAGCCAAGGCGATGGGTACCCCAAGGACGCCCACAACGGGCACAAGCGAGGAACGGGCATCGGCACGTACTTTTTCTCAACCGGACGGCGGCGGATGCACGCGACGGCGCAGCTGGATACCAGTGGTCGACCACGACCCCTGGCTCCCACCCGGCCTCGGGGTGGCAAACCACCTGCGCGCCTATCGAGAAGCCGAGCTTCTCTGTGGTCTTCCCCTGGCCGCGCGCGCCCCTGCCCATCCCGCAAGGCCGAAGTGCTGCGCACAGCACAATAACACAAAACAAAAATGGCCAGCCCGGGGCCGCGCGAGGCTCCAAAAACGGCAAGAGAGCTAAAATGGCTGCGCGGAGAGGGTGCCGGAACGGGAATTGGTGGTTGAGGTGCCGTGGCTGCTCCTTTTGAACAGGGCCGAATCACCAGGATATACTATTAGAACTAATTGGTGTTCTGAGAACCAAAGCGGTCTCAGTCAGAAATGCTCTAAGAGCATGCCGTGCGAACCGCACAAAAGTTCATAGAACTTTGTTTGGTGGGCCTGTAGGCAAGCCCACACAATTCGCCAGTGCCCGATGATGGGGGGCGAAGAACCTCGGCTCGAACCCCTCCTGAATAACCGCCACCGCCCGCGCGGCGCGCCAGGCGCGCCGGAGCCTTTTTGTGACTATGATACGTTTTAGCACAATGGCAAAAAGGGCCCCCTAGAGGTTAAACGGCAGCGAGTGGCGCACTGTCACATGTGACACATGCTCTATATCACACCCGTGATATGTTGTCACGAGCTCGCTGGTGGATCGCGTAGTCACGCTGATCCCTAGAAACCTCCAGGGGCAGCAGGCAGAGTATCCCGATCGGCCATGCGGCGGGGACAACAAACGGACCACCTACCTGCCGGGGTAGTCACATCACTTCCAGGTGCGCAGTAACATCATTTAGTTGCCGGGGTAGTGGTGCTCACTCTGGCCCTCGCCATTTGCTCCTTTACCTTCTTCAAAGTCGATTATGGGTCTGGAATTACATCATACGAACCTGTACACTGAACATCAACCAGGAAATCAGTAGGCATGGCATTTGGAAGACAACATACAGCCATGATACTCATGTCAATCCAATGACGTCTGTCACAAAACAAGCGTGGATGCAGTATTTCAACTTCTTCATGCCCGTTGGTCCCAATGTCCTGCCTCAGACTACACAGGTCTATAATTAAAAGCTTGTCCTCTGGTTTCCCCATGGTGGGCGCAATCAAATATACATCGAGGATTTAAAGTCATCCTCAAGTGACTCTTTGTCACAGCTGCCTTTCCGTCCCAATTGGTTGGCAACGTATGTCCAGCACCACGCATACCCCGCGCGTCGGCGATGGCAGCACGAATACGCGCACCAGACTCCACACCCCATAAACATGCCAACGTCTCTGCTTGAAGCGTAGACTTACAGACTCGCAAGATGACCTTACTTGACACACATATAGGGTGAACGCTGTCGCTGTTGCCCTCGATGAATCCAGGACTGGCAAGTCCGTTGGAACTTGCCTTCTGCGACATGAGCGTGCCAACATTTCCCTTGACTCACCTGCCCAGCTGGCGCCAGCAACTGCAAGAATTAACATATCTGAATCCCACAACACGGCAATTTCTTTGAACGTTAAGCCGCGATCGGCGGACTGTGGCAACCTCCAG